ATATAGTTTAATTCACAATGGGGTTAAAAAAAAATAAAAAATAAAAATAACCCCACTACCTTGAGTTTATACTTCATCTGTGCTGATAATCTATATTTTCATTGCAGCTAACAAAAAAGCAATAAGTTTCAATATTCTCTTGATAAATCACCCTAGCTAGACTCTTCGATCAGGCTAGAATGTGAAAAATATGTAGAGTTGTTAAAATGAACTGACTAACTTCTGGCCTATAATACCCATCTAAAAAGACAGCAACCAACAGCAAAGGAGCGCCATCTTTTGTTCACACACCCAACCAGCAGGCTGGCTAGCAGTGGACAAGAATGTGTTCTTGTTTTCCAGGCGCCTAATTATAATGGAGAATGTTCTTTAAGCAGCAGGCCACCAGATGAGGAGGAAGACATGCCAAATCAAGCACTCGCTCTGTAATTATGCTTCACAGGCACTTGGCACAACGCGCAAGATTTCTCACTTCTCAGAGTGAGCACAGGCCAGCAGACAAAGGAGGGGGGCAGCAAAGTTTTTCCACTTTGAGCCAACTAATTGCTTCATTATTCCCCAATAAGTCATTTGGAAGACTTTTTTTTCTAAGGCTAACACCTTGGACACATGCACAGCACATAGTCAGAGAGCGGAGGATATTAAAGCCAGTCAGGCAACAAACAAGAACAACAGAGGCAGCTGAGCCCTGTCAGCTTCAATAGCAAGAGTCTGAAATATTACATTAGGGAACAGATGTAGTTCCCCACAGTTTGACGATCACACGTTCAAATCGTGAGGATTGGAATTCACTTTCTTGACTAGCCTTTGTTAAAAAGACATAAATGCCTTAGCACTTATCAAAAAAAATGCAGTATTCATAACATTTTAATATAAAAACGTGACAAGCAAGGATTAGATCGAAATGAAAAACCACAGGGCACTCTTCATAGGGTGGAATTTCTATGCTTTGTCCTCCTTTTTGATTTTAATGGGGACCATAGTTTACAAAATGAGTGTCATATTGTATTAGATAAGATGTGAAACTAGTGACTGAGATCAAAAACTAATTAGGAAAATGTTTACTTAGGGCAGGGGTCCCCAATCTCAGTCCACAAGGGCAGGGGTCCCCAATCTCAGTCCACAAGGGCCGGTGTCCCTGCAGGTTTTAGATCTCACCCTGGGTCAACACACCTGAATCACATGATTAGCTCATTGCCAGGCCTCTGGAGAACTTCAAGACATGTTGAGAAGGTAATTTATCCATTTAAATCAGCTGTGATGGATCAAGGACACATCTAAAACCTGCAGGGACACCGGCCCTCGTGGACTGAGATTGGGGACCCCTGACTTAGGGTATACGCATGGAGGCCATAGGCATGGAGGCCATAGGCATGGAGGCCATGAACTACTGCATTTGGTTCACTTTTTGGATCCAGTAGCTACAGAATTTACAGTTGAGGTCAGAAATCTGGATACGCTCATCAAGACTGATGCTTAATAACTTCTCGTTAGTGATTGTGATTGACAACTGGCAGTTTCTCTTTAACAATGTAAAAATGATTAGTTTGACACCACTCACTGATTAAGCAATAATCTGAGCAATGGGAAAGTCCATTGAACTCAGCGTTGTAGGGTTACACAAGTCGGGAAGGTCTCTTGGAGCCATTTCTAAACAACTGCCCATCATAATTTCAAACAACTTCATACAGAGTTGCAAAGTTACAGACATTCTGTACTTCAGTAGAAGTACAAACACTACTGTTAAAAAATACTCCAGTAAAAGTTGAAGTACTGATTCAATTTCTTTACTCAGGTAAAAGTCAAAAAGTAGAGACTCAAAATAAGAAAGCAAAAAAATAATTCTTTGGAGGATGTTTCTGGTTTTGTGCAAAGATAACCGAATTTTTTTTAATTGTAATTATGCTCAGCTTGAACCTGAAGAAAAAGAAGGGACGTAAAAAAAATAAATCTGATTTCTGTTGCCTACATTGTAGAGGGTAACACAATAATTTCTATTGAAAGCTCCAGTAGATTTTCTTAGTGTACATGCTGTGATCAGCTGACCTGCTGCCCACTATGGATTTACACAACTGAATTTAACAAGAAGTCAGCAGATGTTTCACAGCTGACACTACACTGTTTATGCTGTCTTTATATTAGTCAGTATAAAGTCGATATAAGGGTAGAATTCAGCGAATGAATCTAAGCATCATCAGCTTAACTTCAAATTCATCTCTGCTTCACTTGATGTTGATGGTCTAGCTCAGTTTGTTTAGCAGCAAATTTCACAATATGAAAAAAAAACATAATGTCAGATGTACAGACCCAATATCTGATTTAAAAACATTAGGACTTTTCCAGTTTATCAAATCCCACTGAGCAGTCCTTACCTTTAAATCTAACCTCTCTTCTTCCTCTCCTGTCCTGTCTTTCTTATCTTTCTCCATCTCTGAGTGAAGTTAGCTCTCTTCCTTTTCTCTCCCTGTGAAATACAGAAGCTGGACCTTTAGCTAGCAACACACTGTGAGACAAACTGCACAAAAACAGTTTGTGTGTTTGCTGATGTTTGCTGAGCTGATAGAAATGACCTGACAGTTAAAAAAAAAGTAACTCCCTTTATGCTCGCTCCCCTTCTGTAGCACTAGCTAGATGCCGAAGTACCTCAACTTATGGACACCTGCAGTAATTCGATGTTGTGGCAAAAAACAAACAAAGAAACCACTGTCCCATGTTTAACCTTTGACTATGGCACATGTCATCTCTTTTTATGTCACATCCTCTGATGATTAATAAATGCAGGCTCGCAGTGACAAAACAATAACTCCCCCCAAATGTGTTAAAGCAAAAGTAACAAGCCTGTTATGAAAATGTAAGAAGAAAGTGCAGATATTTGTTTAAAAATTGTGGGGAGTAAAAGTAAAATGTTTTCAGAAAAAAACTACTCAAGCAAAGTAGAGATACCTGAAAATTGTACTTAAGTACACTAACAAAGTACTTTACTTGAGGTATGTTTTCATGATGTGTTTATAGGAGTAAAGGGTGAGGCTTTCAAACCTAAGAAAACTGTCAAGCATGGTGATGGTAGCATCATGTTTTGGGGCTGTTTCGCTGCCAGGTATGTTGCACAAAGTCAATGGAATAATGAAGCAAGAAGAGTACCTTCAAGTTTTTCACCTTCACCTCCACCACACATCAACAGCTAGACGGGTGAAACTTGGACAAAACTGGGTTTTCCAACATGACAGTGATCCCAAACACACATCAAAACATGGTTTTGAAATGGAAAAAGGAGGCTAACATTAAACTTCTGGAAAGTCCCAACCTCAACCCAACTGAATATTTGGAGACTGTGCTTAGCTGGGTCCCAATCAATGTAACTGAACTCTATAAATTCTGCCAGGAAGAGTGGCCAAATATTCAACCAGAATTATGCCAAAAGCTTGTTGATGGCAACTAAAAGCATCTGGTTGAGGTGTAACTTGCTAAGTGAAATTTAACCAAATATTAGTCAAGTGTATGGATATATTTGAACCTGTGTGGATTTGAGAAAATCCAACATAAATTCAAACTTGTGCACCCAATTCTTATTTTGTAAAATTATTAGATATGCAGACTGCACAAGCGTTCCACCCTGAAAAAGAACAGATTAAAGAAATCACTCAGAACTCATGTTCATGATGAGTGTATGTAAACTTTAGACCATAGCTGCATATTCAGTCTATAGTTGTTTCCCTTTTATTCTAAAAGAGGGATTTTTTTTCACTTCATTTGCATATAGAGGTTCATTTAAATTGGTTTACAATCTTTACCTACTTAAATTCAAATGCATTACACTGCACTAACTTAAGATAACTAATGAAGTATCCCTCTGCAGAAAAAAATGTAATCAGTTAATTTCAATTCATTAACAAAAGCAACTTATATTAAGATTAACTATGTGCCAGCCGAACTCATTTAGATAAACTCCCCGAGAGGCTATAAAACAGCAATCAGAAAAAAAAAAATGATGAACAGGCTAATAAAATAAATATTTCCACAGCCCCATCTATAATTGCTTCCCAATCTCCACCCACAGGCAGTGGCTATTATTGTCTTTCCCAGCATGAACTAGAGGAGGCGCCATTAAATGATAATCTTTTGGGGTGGGAGGCAGCATCTGTGTTGCTAGCCTGCAGTAGACAAACACCCATGTGGAATAGCATAGGTTTAGATTTGGACATTGTAGAATAACACCGGTTTTCTAACTTTTTCTTGCACTTGTCGTATTAAGCCAAATTATGGAAATTTACCAAGCAATACAGTTCTCAGTTTCCAGCCAATTTCCCCAAATTTTAGATTTGGGGCATTGTATATCTACAAAACAAAGAATACAACTTGTAAAAACAAACAAACAAACAAGCAAACAAAAAAACCCACACACATTAAATAATAGATAACTCCAAGGTGCTTTGAACTAAGACAGATAATAAAAACGCTGGTAGTTTGGATAATATCTGAATTGTTGAACAACATTGGTTAGATAATATATTTCCACGAGTGTGTGTGTGTGTGTGTGTGTGTTTTTCATACTATTGTTCTCTTTTGAAGGGCCAATACCCAGACGTAGTATTTTTTTTCCTATGTCAGCTGGCGAAATGATATGCAATGTATATTTTTATATAGCCCAGTTAACTACGTTGTCAGGCGGACTGAAACAAGCTGCTGACTCTAAGTTGACTCACGACGTTTCCAGCTACGCGCGCGGGCCTGGCGCTGCATTAACTAATTGCACGCGCGACCCGGGCGCATATAGTAACTTCAAGTTTGTGTTTCTTCGATGTTGCAGCAGTAAAATAACACAGTGACACAGCTTTGAAAGAGAAAAGAAGAGGGGTAACATCAACTGCCGCCACACCTAGCAACAGGGTTGTCAGGACGCAGGAAGTAACTTGCTAGGTTGCTAATTAGCCACGTATGCTAAGCTGCAAACCGGGGCCATGGCCATTGCAGGCTGGGGCTCGGTACTTATCAGTTCTTACCGATGTGGTTATCCTCGATGTGGACGATGAGCTCGGACAGCGAGTCGAAGTGAAGTCCGCAGCCCCCGAACCTGCAAGCGTTGGAAAAGAAGGAAGCAGCGGCGATGCCTGTCATGGTCGCTGCAGCATTAGAAATGAGGGCAAGCGGCGGGGAAACAGCGGGGCGGACAGCGGTGGAAACAGCTGGAGCTCGCACTGGCAGCAGGCTGACTTCTCTCAGCTGCGTCAAACCAGCTGGAGACACTTAATGACACCGGAAGTGAGGCTGTTTGACTTTCATTAAAAAAGCCAAACAATTTTTCTAAATTGCCTCTAGTTATACAGTTCGTATCTGAAGTGAGTCCTTATGGCACGCCTGCAGTGAAGGGATGGCAATATATTAGATGAAAATTAAACTTTTGGCAAACTAGGATATATTGTTAGAGTTTAGGGTCGTACAGGATATTAAATGAGAATTGAAATAGACCTCATCTTGAAGTTTATAAACATTTTCGTATTCCTTTTAAAAGACGTAATCATTTTTTTAAAATATAATTTTGATTATTTTAAATAAAAATACACAATGTTGTTGCCATTGTTATGCCAAGAGCCTAAATATACATTTCGAAACGTCATCTTTTGGTCTGTCTAGCTACATTAATCACTTATTTAAAAAATTAAAAGTTTGTTTATAATTACGTGAACTGTTGGTCAAATTTGAATTATCAAGTAAAACAGCAGATGAGTAAACGTTAAATGACAATTATCTAATAACAAAAGTGCGATTTTACACACACACACACACACACACACACACACACACACACACACACACACACACACACACACACACACACACACACAAACAAACAAACTGCATTCCTAGAAACTGTGTAGTACGGTAGTTGGCTATATAGTTCTTGTAATGCTTTATAGGAAGTTGCTTTTTGAACAGTTTGCCTAATTTAACGCATGGAGTTTGCACACTTGGCTTGACTAATTAATAGACATCGTCACTGCAAATATTTTTCCTTATATTGACTTATTTGTATACCTTTTCTTTCAGTTTTCAAATTACCTTTAATTAAGTGCCAGGTAGGATGTGCGTCACTTCAACAAACTAAGTGTCTGCCTTCACCGGAATCGTATTCTAGAACTGACTGATGCTTGTTACATTTGCAATTATGTGCATATATTTTGTAGTAAATGTGGGTAATTAATAAGTCGTGCTGTGAATTCCACTTTGGAGCAACAAGTAGCTTAAGAGCATCTAATGGCCACAGAGCGGCAGTATTGGCCAGTGAATAAAGGTAAGTCATGTTCAGTGGATTAAAGGTCTCCCAGGACTATCTCTAACTCAGCCAACAGTATAGTCCTACAAGAGGTTTCATCCTTCCTAAGGATTTTATTTTTATATGTTTTTTTTCCTACTATCAACAGCACTTCACATGCCTTGTTCTGCAAAGTGATTTTATTTTCTGAGGTAGTCTGAGGTAGAGACAGGCTGGAATTAAGTGCATGCTGCCATTTTTCATCGTTCATTAATGCATAAAATCAATTTGAAAATGTGCACAGGTTCTGAATAACTACAGCATGTGTACGCTACATTTAATTAAATTACTTGTCAGAGTAACAGATCTGAAACATTTTGTGCCTTGTCATTAATCTAATCTGGAGCTGGTTTTCTTTCCCCCCCCCCCCCCCCCCCCCCCCCCCCCCCCCCCCCCCATCTGACTGTTTTCAGGAGAACAGAGTGACTGATGCAACAACTTGTAAGAGAGAAACACGGGCCTCTACAATGTATATGTGACAATATGCAACAAATGTTCCTTTTTAAAGAGGCAAAAAAGTGAGTGGAAGAATTCTTTAGTTACTTTTTTTGCATCCATGGACTGTGTGGTATCTTTGAGTCTGTGCCTGATGAATGTGTAATGGGTCATAACTGGGCTCATCCAAATTTCAGACCAGTGATGGTAAAACTTTTTTCTTTTCCAGTTATGCATGAGAACACTGTGGGATATTACTATGAAAGCATTACATCACTCACAGCTTCTTGTTTGAGGAAACTGATGGGTTTCTTTTAAAAATCCTGGCATGGCTTATCCTCTGTTATTTATTGAAGTTTTTGCTTGATGGGTAAGGCTTCACCTAATCATTACTCTTAAGTTTAGAGATGAGGTAATAGATATGTTTGGGATTCTTTGGGCTTAGGATGTACTGAATAGACTGTTCAACCTCACTGTGGAAACACATGCAGGCAAAGTCACGTTTAATAGCTGCTCGTAAGTGACCAAACCCTTCTGTTCTCTGGGAACTGCCCAGCAAGTTTGAGTCAACCAATAAGATAATTTCCTCACTCCTACACTCTACAGTAAAGAAAGGGCACCTCAGTCCTTCTGGCTTCATTTTTGCATGGAGTGGAGACTTATTTCAAACAGCTGAAAGTGAAAACAGCTCCCTAGGGACTTTATTTCTAACTCAAATCATCAGTGTGTTTATTTAAGTGATTTGTAATAGGACCGCGGGTCCCGCAAGCCAATATAAATCATATAGGGATGACTAACACAATGGAAATACCACTCACAACATATTATCCATGCAGTGTTGTAATGTAATCTAAAGGTGTTATGATAGTGTTATTGTTAGCCTCGCCATATAACATTTAAAAATTGTTATTGTTAAAAATGTTATTAATAATCCCCTTTAAGTAACACAGAAGACAAGTTCATATATCATTAGACTGATAAACTTTCTCGCAAGTGCTGTGCAAAAAGATTATCCTACACAATTACAAATCTCCATAGCTTTCACTCAGGCACCACCATTTATCGTCCACCTAATGTAAATGTTATAGGGTCAAGTGTTTGAGCGAGAAAAAGCCACTAAGGTTATCTACTGAGGACCCTCCAGAGTATATATTTTGTTGGACAAGACTCCCAGGGCCATTAGAAAGCTCAGCGGAGATAGTTGACATACCAAGACAGAAATTACTGAGTCTTGACAGTTTCAAACCACTAGCTTCATTTCAGTATTTCAATGATTAATCTGAATGCTGAAATTTGAGTAACTCAGATGTTGCAGTGCACAAAAGTAAATTTACTGGTTAAACAACTGCCTGTAGAGTAAAGGGTTTTCTATCCTTATTTTGAAGTTTAATTGCAAAACATCCCCATAAACCAGTATTGAATTTTTTATTACTGTATTGTTGTTTTGCAATGCAGTGAATTACTGAACATTCTCATTTTTCAAGTAACACAAATATATCTACTTTTTTTCTTTTACAACCCACAGACCTTGACATTGTCAGAGTGTCAACACTGTGATATTCAGTATGTCCTGAGGTTTCCCTCACCACATAGTAGTTCCTGATCTTTAACCACTGAACAGCAAACACTTGGAACGATATTCCCACCAGTTCAGAAGCAATGTCTTTCAATATTTATAGTCAGCTAGGCTGGTATATTTTCCTGGCTTTGTAAAGATATGATTATGTTTTCAAATCAGACAAATTAGTAACTCTACATTATTTATTTATTTATTTTTGACATTCAGACTATATACCAATTTATTCTGTTAAGTAATTTAAAAAAATAGAACATTTCTGAAGAAAGTTTGAATCTGTCAACATAACTACTGCTGTGGAAAGCCCAGACTATCTTCTTTCAGATGCCAGTAAAATTGACTTGGCTGCTTAGGTCTTATCTTACATCTTTCCCTCTGCCACAACAGTCATGACTTGCTTGGTCTTAAATATGTGATAAGAGTTCGATGGTGAAGCCTCTGATTGAAACGTAGCGATTTTAAAACAAACACACCACTATGGATGATCTCATCTACAGACTAAAGTGACTGCTTTGATATATTGTTGGTTAAAATCAGAGTTTTAGAAGTTTTTTTTAACCCAAAATGTAAGGTGAGGATGCACCAGTAGTGCGTGAAAACAAGAAAACACCAGTTGACAAAGACCTACAATCATTTGTTAGTTTTATATTTCTATTTTCTATTTTGCTTTTTCTACCCCAAATTTTGGAGAAGTATTTGCTTATATGAGCGGTAACAGATAACTAAATATCTTAGATTTCTGTTGTTGCACAGTTACTAAGAGCTTTATACTAATATCTCTTTGGGCGTAGTCATCTCTGTTTGAGGTATGAAGAGCAGCATTAATCTGGACATCTATTTCCTATAGCTGACTGCTTTGCAAAGTGGAATATTCATTAAAGTGCTTTATATTTTGATGAAAATTGAAAACCTATGAGACGCTTTTGTTATTAGCCTCCTTCACCTTTTGCACCTGCTACAACAAAGCATCATCACTGGTCCTTATCTTCCCAAGGTGATCTTAGCTAGAAGCATTGCACAAAGGCATAATAATAAAAGGTTTAGTATAATATAGATCAAGTCCACTTTAGTGTGGGTCACTGACCCAAACTGTATCGGCTCTTTCCAACCTTAATAGTCTGCTCCTCTGGGAGCATAATGTTTGGATTGGTTGGGAAATATATTGGCAATAAAGAGACAAAAGGATGTCATAAATGTTGATTAAAGCTCTGGTTAAAAGACAAAGGCGGAGAGGCTCTGAGTTATGAGGGCTTTTCAGACTGCGTTATTGTTTCAGTGACAGAGCTCTTAGTGTGTCTAGTGGAGTGGCGAGTGGTAAACATTTCTCAATGTGTGAGGAGTCATTAATCCCTGGAACCGAGGATGGCTTCACTACCAGTGTCTGTGGCCCAAGAAATCACAGCCAGTTGGCACCAGCAGGTCGTGCAGAGCTCCAACATAAATGCTTTGTATACTTCAGAGCTGTTTAAATCTCTTCTATGTGCTGTAGCTAAGGCACACTTTAGAAAAGGCAACAGGCAACACTCTGTGTTTTGCACATTCAGTTCATTTGCCAGTCAAGCTGTTGATGATGCATTGAGTCCTGCCAGGTTATAGTCTCACTGTGAAACATAAGCAAAAAATGAAGCCAGTTTGACGAAAACACGTTTCTAAGGCCCTGACAGTAACGTCAGGGAGTAATACAGTATGCAGATTGTCACTGAGGCTGAATCGTAATTCTGGCAAAAAGTAACTTTCCTGTTTCTGGAGTCATTAGACTTGGTCATGTATGTTTATTATAATTTATTTTGAAGAGATTCCCAGTTTCATAATTACTTTAGGTTCTTTAGGTTTGTAGGTAGTTTTCCCAAATTCTACTTGAATTTTTGAATTAGCAAATCCGAGGACTACAAGTCTGAGAAAATTTGTATTCTTGCATGAAAAACACTTCACTCATCAT